CTGCAACCTTGTGTAGCCAACAACACCCTAGATTATTTTTGTGTGGCCAAGACATACTGACTATAATCCTGTAAAGACAGACCTTGTTTCTGGACCCCTGGTATCGAGATTTTCTTCAGAAATAAAATGTAGTCAGGATTCATAGGTTTGGGAGCATATCTACACATAGTCTGAAAAGTTACTCTAAATTACCTAATGTGGATAAGTAAACAGCACTAATTTTTTGTCTGGATACTCTATCCACAGTAAGCTGGCCTTCAATTCATCCAAAACTGAATATTCGAGCTAAAATAAATCAAGTCAATGTTAATGCTAAGTAAAAGCATCCACACAAAAGCCTAATGTGATTTTCATTTAATAAGTGAATTAAAGTAACTGTTCTTGGAGTCTCTTTGTAAGTATAAGCCTCTTGTTTCCACTACATCAATATACATGCCAGAGGTACATTAATACAGTCCCCAGTCTATTAATATTACTTCACTTCCTTCTATTATTTATTCTCATCTTGAAAAGTTTTCATAAAAGGCTTAAATTCTTGCTAAAAGTTAGAAGCCGCCTTCCTTTGTTCAGAGCTGAAGGAGGGGAGGTGGTGCTCCGAACGCTGCCTGCAGCAGCTGCTTTGCACAGACCATCAGCTGGCTCTTCAAATATGCCCAAAATATTCTCAGGATGCAGCTCCCTTCCCTCCCAAAGGTCTCCGTATGCCTGAGAGATGCGGCTTTCAAATGGATCTTTCTTGATTAGGTTGATTAGGTGGAAGTAATTATTATTCTCCCAATCGGCTACAAACCAGTGCCCAGCCTAGGGTCTATCGGCCCCAGCTCCCCGCAGAACTCACGGGGCTTGTTGGCCATGTTCAAGCTGCATGAGTTATTCTGCTGGCAAGAGCCCACTGCTGGTCATCACCTGCACCAGGGCCCCACCGCTCCTTCCTCTTACACACAAGAACCTTGCCACATACTGTGGTGCAAGTGTCACTTCATGGGAAGGGGCTGTGCTGGAAAATAAATACCATGTGTAAGCACTGCTTACTAAACAAATATACTGCAGAATTAAATCCCTATTTTTCCTGTAAATACACAGCACCTCTTCCACAGCACCTGGCAATGCTGAATTTTTACTATGACATTTATTAAATTTATTCAATATTGGATGGATATCTAAAAACCCAAACACGAGTGCTTCAGAAGAGAGAGCTTATCTTCATATAAGTCACAAACACAGCCACTGGCACATAATGCATTATATAAATAAATCATTATTTTTGACATATAAAGTGTACAGGAGAATTGTGACAGTTTCCTATGGAAGAAAATGAGACATGAAACACTTATATTCTACCAATTAAAAAAAAAAGGAAAAAAAGAAAACAAGTAACAGTGCCAAGTCACCTGAGCTTGAAACTTGGAATTGGATTTATTAAGCACACTTCCAAAAACAGAACAAGAATGTTATACAGGAAGTGTGCCCACTGGCCAGAAGAAACACTGCCACCAAAGCTGACAACACGACTGGCAGAGAGACCGGATTAAGGAGGCTCACATCATAATTTTTATTTTTACCACTAGAATAAGGACCCAGTTAGTGTTTCATGTCTGTTTCCCAAAGATTCAGTCAGCAACAACCAGCAAAGCAGGACTGGTTCTTTTTCACTTTTATTGAACTACTACATCTCTTACCTATCAAAATGAAAAATGTTAAGCAGAGAGGCAATAACAAAATATGCAGGGACCCAGCTTTTAGAAATTCCACAGGACTAAGGGTTTTTGTAGATGAGATGCCTGGTCACAAATTTTCAGCAAACCGTCACAACTGCTTTGGAAAACTAAAATTTGATGTACACAGGAAAAAACACAGAAGAAACCTACACTACCAGGAACTGCAGTTTTTATCTTTTTTTTTTTTTTCCTTTCTAATGTTAAACATCAATTGCTGTATGTCTTAGACTGAGACTTCTACAGTCTCCCTAAATCAGTTCCCTAACTCAGAAGCTTTTATTAACATAAGGGTCTGGAAGAGGTATACAAGGAAATGCTAGGGAGCATTAAAAGAAAGCAAAACAACCAAACCACAAAAAACCCTATGGTACCCCCTAAATATATTCAGAAATTATATATTCATGTTTGTTATTTTATTACTCAACCAGATTTTCAGAGCAGCCATAGATCTAATGCAAAAAAAGCTAACTATACGCCAAGATTCTTCTTTCTTCAAATACCTCAAAAACAGGAAAGAAAAAAATTCAATAGATTTGCCTTGAATTTAAACAAAAGGTAGATCTAATGCCAGCAAAAGTCACTATAAAAATGTCTACACAGCACAATGAAATGCTATGCAGAAACACCCCTGCTTGTTCTTTCATGATTTTGCCTGGTAACGCAGCTAAAGCAGGAGGCTGGGTGCACAGCAAGCTCTCCTTGCCAGCTAACCCAGCTCAGAACTCCACAGAGTATTTACCTTGCTGTGAACAAAAAACAACCCCCAGAGCCTCAAAACCAACACAAAACAAACAACAACAAAAACAAAATAATGACACTCTCCCCATCAGCAAGAGTACTGCCGTTCTTTCCAACACACTTTCGAGCAGGCCCATAATAACATCTTCTGGACACACCAAGTGCAGTAAAGAATTACTTCTTGGTTTCAAAAAAGAAAGATTAGAGAAAAATATGACTGCCACTTACTGACATTAGTGACTCTCTTTCCTTCCCATTGGATTGTTTTCTGATAATCCCACAATGAAGCAATACATTACCCCTTCCCAGAAGCTATTCTCACAACAATGCCCATAAATTCTGTACTATTATTTTATCATAATTAACTTATCCCTAGCAAGTTCCTTGTTCAGCTTGAAAACACAAATGGCAGAAAGCCCCCCACCCCAAATGTATCCTTCTGGCAACTGATAACTTATAAATACAACTTAGAGTGGCTTTGACGCTGTTCTACTAGTTTATTAGACAAAAAAAATCATATATATTCAGCTTCCATATCCATTGACCTTCAGTGGCTTTGCTTTTGGTTTCTTTGGAAGTGCTTTTGCTTTTTTTTTAAAATATGATCCTGTAAATTTTTTATAGAGCTGAATACCTGTGGAGCTCATGGGCCCTTGGGATGAGACATGATGAAACTAAACTATTTGATCAGCTACAGAGAGTGAAACAGTTCACTGAAACAGAGCAGTGTTCTCTGCCTTTACAGCAGGAGTTTGTAGCTGCCATGTTCTAGTGCAGCATCGCAGACACTGCTTGAAACGATGAGGAAAAAGGGGATTTTTGCTACAACCAGCCAATAGCCAAAGCCAGTATCCTCTTGTTTTGCTCTGCTCTGTAATGAGGTCAGCTGGATTGGCAATATACCACTATACAATGGATAAAAATGATGTTACTTACAACACTGGCTTCAAACAAAAGTCTGCCTTGATGTTAAATAAAGAACACAGAATGCTGCTCAAGTGCTGCTTTCATACCATAAGCAGCTGAGGTAATAGCTTTCAACTGGTTTGATATTGCTGTACCCAGAACATGTGGTACGATTCAATACCTTGCTGTGAATCATCCCTCCTGCAGATATAACACACATTGTTTGCAATCAGTCAAAAATAAAACCAATTAGACAAAGTGTTCTGCCATTACGTTTCTCGTTGCACTGTCAGAGCTAAGGCACAAGTTTGCTATCACATACAAGGATTGTCATTTTGGTACCTGAGCAACCAAAAGGACTAGATTATAACACAAATAATCCAACAATATGCAAATATAACCTTCAATTTAAAAAAGCTGATTTGCTTTTGCATAAACATTATTTCTCTTAAATTTATAAAATCATTAGACATGTCTCAAGGAGGCTTTTAATTAATATCTAGAAAGCATTCTAATTTAAGCAGCTGTATTTATTTCAGTTAATTAGCATTGCTCAACTCTGGGTATTATCTTTCTACTAGAGTACAAAGCAAAAATATTTCTGTTCAAGGAATTAGGATAGTTCAACCTCTCAGATAAAGGCACAGAGTTCTGCAAAAAATTCTCTTCAAGTATCAGGACAAAATTCAGCCAGATGAGAATACAGTTTTTTATGTCAAAAACTCACAGTGAAAACGCTGTGAAATGCAAACCACTATTAAAGAGTTCTGACATAACAGATGGGATGTCAGAATAAGACCAACTGGCCAGTGAAAGTAAAAATATAAGTGACAGGCATTTAGTTTTATTCTCTGAAATGCGACTTCAGCCTCAAGATTTTCATGGCATTTGCTCTAGTTGAGAAACCGCTAGTTTGGGCAAGTGGAAGCTGTTGATTCAGTGGCCATTCCACTGGCTACTACTGCAACCAACCAAACTTTTTTTTCTTTTCTGTCCATAGATAAAGTAGTAAACATGCTAATTGTCAAATTAATAAGATTTATTAACAGACAAGATTTGTAGTTTTCTCTGCTGCCCACAATTGTTATTTATAAAGAGGAAGGAGATGAATAGGTACTTCAGAGGAGTTTCTCAAGAGTATTTTCTGATTATTGTGATTTTGCTTAGGAGAGAAGGTAGAATGACAAACTCTTCATCAACAAACCACACAATGGCAGTGCAAGTTACTTTAAGAAACAGTGCCAGTGAAAGGAGTCATTCTATTTTCATATTTGTGGAGAATTACAATTTAACACATGTGCTCATCCTCCAGATACCAGAATGTTTGGATACCTGGCTGGCAAGACATCCAACAGAAAACAGTTCATTAGTACCTGAGCTACTTTCAAAGTGGTAAACTGAACCTTCTCATATATACCATAGTATAAGTTGATTGAGATTTCCAGAAAAGACAAATCAACCAGTGTATGACACATTCAACACTCAACAGAGCAGGTTAAAAGCCCAAAGTAGCAGCAGGTATTTGCACATATCACAATGTTACCTGCAATTCCTCCAAAGCAATGGAATGCATTCCTATGATATTTTACTGTCTTGATCTTGTTTACAGCTATCACATTAAACAGTAAAATAACTTACCACTGGGGTTAAAAGCCATGCAGCAAATCGGCTTTTCGTGAGCAGGGAAGTGGGCCACGATACCGTCACTGTCAGAGTCCTCACTGACAAGTACCTGCATAAAATTAACAGAGACAAAGGAAGGTCAGGAACCACGAATACACTGAAGAGAAAACATCAGCTTCGTCATCCAGGAATCCTTTTATAAGATATACATGATGGTATGAATTAGAAATATGAACTAAACACAATCAATCTTCGGTAATTTTTTCAGATAAAGCAACGTGAGACACGCTGAAATAACCCACTGTGCACTAGAAAGGATCATGCACTTTAAACCTGGATTCTCCATTTATTTATCCTATTCAAATACAGCAATAATGGAAAAAATATTACTGTTTTACTACATAAAGTATTAACGGGTGCATGGAAGCTTATTACAAAAGCAGTCTGTATGCAGTGCACCAGGAAGCTACATGTAAGGTTTCCATTGCTGATGGCTGAAGGGTTGTGACCTCTCTGTGTGTATAAGCGAGAGGGCCTATTACTCAAATTTGTGACAGGAGTTCTGCTCAATTCAGGTCTCCTGTGGACAGCAGCTCTCACTCCACCACTCTCAGCAGCAGTGAGTTTGCTAAGGAAACGTTAAGGACTGGGAGCGTGTACAAAAGCAGCTCCCCTGAGAAATACACAACTACCAAGAATTTTCTCCATCTTGAAATGGTCTCAATGGATATTACAAAGGTTGTTAATTAAAACCCCTTAAAAAGAATCATGCTGTTGTAAAATATCTTTTTGTGAACAAAAAAGCAACTGAGAGGTATGAGTTTTCACAACGGAGGGAAATAAAGTGGAAAAGGAAATATCTGGACTGAGATCTGTGTTGCACAACATCTTCTGGAGAAAAGGGCAAAGGATGAGCTTTTGGTTTTTTAAACAAAAGGCTCTTTGAAGTTGACAAAACTACTCGGGCCAGTCAAAACCAAAGCTGACTGTGAAGACACACAAAAGGACCTCCAGAAGGACACAGTATTAACAGTATTGAACGGTATGAAAAGGAAAAGATAGTCTTAGATTTATAGAAGAGAACCAAAAGATGTGTGAACAAAACATATGCAAGAGCTGCAAAGTATTTTATTCCCTGGTTACATCATGTTAGAGACTAAATTAAGTAAAAGGATGAGAAAGATTTGTCAGAAAAGGACTTAATAAAAGGGTTTCTGTGGCAAGCAAAAACCACCTTCTTAATAAGATAGTGCAAAATCTCCCATTTCTAGTTCAGAATAATTTGTCTGCTGCTTCCAAAATAATCCAAAAGGTTTTTAATACTTCCTATCCCTAACAGATATCAGAATAATTTGAAGATATTTTTATGCTTCAAAAAGAGAAATCATCTTTAAATGTTTAAAGAAGTCACGTAATATGGATGAAGAGGCCCGCGCCTGACTGACTTTAAATGTTCAAATTACTTGGCACTGTCACATAAGCACAATTATGGTTTTGCTTTCCGTTGTCAGCATTTCGTGCTTATTCCAGAACCACTAACCAAAGGGTCTGGAGATCTTCCTAAGAGCTTTTCAAAGAAACAGTGTTCTTTCCTCAGCCTATATAAACGGCACTAAATAACTGCTATTCATCAGCTTCTCACAGCTTCCACTTTTAGGCAACTTGGTCTCATCGCTAAATATTTTACTCTAATTAAAGATACAGAATAATAATAAAGTAACATCATAAACCAGCTTCACAAAAAGAAATATGTTCTTTTTAAATCCAGTCTCTCAAATAAAAATACTTAATCTAGAAATGTGTAGGTATCAGCAGTATCTAAATCATTGCTAAAAACCAGTTCTATAGTGTCTTTCATGTGCATCATCTTCTCCAGACTGTAAACTCGATTAATTCAGCATGGTCTTCTTTTTTCTTTTTTTAAGCTAATGATAAATGCACCCCTCTTAGCATCCCTGGAACAAAAACTCCCTACGCAACAGACAGGGAACACTCTAGATGGTAAGACCTTTAAATATTTTTCCTCTGCCAATATGATACAGAGCAACAATTTTAAAACATTAAAACCTGTAAAACACCTCACACATAACCAATGTCAGTATACTATAAAGCCCAAATCTATTATTTGCATGCTATGCTAACTTATTCCATACTTTAAAATCAAAAGGATTACAGCAGTTGGCTTCACTACATCATCAACCAAAGAAGAGCCTCTTTGGAAATGTTCCTTTCAAAACCTGCCACAAAACAAAAGCCTGGTTCACTTGCCAACTCAGAGCTTGAATAGCTCTAAAACCATGGTATCATTTTCACCATTGTGTATAACATAAGAAAGACAAAATTATGTTGATATAACACAAGATGCTTTATACTGGAATACATTATTTTGTGTATTAGAGATCTTTTAAACCGATCTAACCGCCTCAGTACAACAGGGTTTATACAAATTTGGAAAGATCGACCAGCACAGATTTCACACAGACAAGGATGAAGACTGGAGCTGTACAGTCACGAGGAATTCCTGGAGGCCTCCACCACGCAGGCTGCACAACTTTTAGAAACCACTTCTTGCAAAGGCTGAAGTGGAAGACACTATCTGCAAAGGTGTTGGAGAGAACAATGTCTGTAGGGTAACCCATGGCACATGAAATCAATGCCAAAATTGTACAACTGGTTCCCTTTGGCCAGTTTATGGTTTCTTACCATGGAAAAAGAGCAGAGTTGGGATTTTTTCTTGGAAGTCAAAACAAATTGCCTAATAACGCATGCAAGTGCTGTCAAAAAGCTCGAAGGAAGCAGCTCATTCAGCTTCCCAATGCACAGAGTGTACAGAGCCCACAGGAATCCTGAGGCTGCAATTTTTTTCATCCCAAATAGGCTCCGTTCTCCAAGGTAGTGGCCTCTAACCACTCTACTATTAAAAGTAAAAGACCTTACAAAGTCTCTCATTGAGAAAGGTTCATAAATCTTAACATTACTCTTATAATTGCACAGTCACTGAGGTTCTGAAGGATACTCACGTATCTTCCTTGCAGAATTCCCTACTGTTACAAAAAGAGACATCATTTTAAGAAAAAAAAAAACAAAAAAGAAACACTGAGGCTCTTCTGCCATGACGGCCTTGTATATCAGCACTCAGCCTATTTCTGATGCCCAAATAGCATCTTATCACAAGACCTGCAACATGATTTTCACATCAGCTGCCAGGCCAGCAGAGTCCACAGAGTTGGACATGTGGAGCCAATGCTGCAGCTCAACAGAACACTGTAGTTGATCAACAATGACTCAAGTCCTCTTTATCGTACTGAAAAAGCAAAACAGACAACACACCTAAGGGATCATTATATTTACTATCAGAAAACAGCATTTGCTTTGAGGGCAAGAGATAGCTGAAGCCGAAGCTTTTTTCTCCTATGCCATATTTTTCTTCATCCGTTGTATTTTCCATACTGCTGAACAGAAGCCACTAGTAATTACAACTTCAATTATTTTAATCTTTAAAGGCAAATTACACCACTTATCCCAGCGGAGACATGTTTTTAAATAAAACATGAAAGTAACACAAATAAAAATGGACACAAATCTAATCAAGCAGGTCCTACTCTTAATAAAATTAAGAAAGAATAATCCCATCATCATAAAAACAAATAGGTTTGACAATATTTATAAATATTACTATTATATAATAAAAGACCTTTGCATGCATAGATATTAAGATCTCCATTGATTTAAATAGCTGAAGTTAGGGCAGTGTCTGCTCCCGTTCATATGCACAAAAACCAACCCCCTCTATATGACCCCCCCAGTTAGCCTCCCCCAACTTATAGCTAAGGTCAAACATCAGTGGAAAAGGGCTAAAAGTGATAAATCTGTGGCATTAACTACTGCACTCCTTTTAATAGAATCCAGCATAAACTCAAAACAGCCTTGTGCTCAGCCTGAACCATTTATCTGAGACAAAAATGTCTTCTTGACAAAAAACAGATCTCCTTTAATAAAAGTAAGGCAGACAGTATTATGCTCTGAGGGAATCCTGTTGCTTTTTATATTTATATATAAAAAGAGCTCTTCTGTACTACACGTAGATATAAAGAGCGAAGAAAACTGATGCCAAATGTATGAGCATTGGAACATCAAATTAGCCTTTGTGAAAGCTGTTCATGTAAATAAAAGCACTGGTGTTAATGACCAGTGGAATTACATATGTAGTTAAAGTTTTACTATCAAATACATGCTATTCTCTCAGCTTCTTTTTGGTCTAGACCGAAGTTTCACAACAACTCTCGGTCCCGATAAACATCTTTATTTGGTTCAATTGTTATCAACTTCTTACCAAATGAAAATGAACTTTTGAAACTGCAGCAGTCTGCAGGTTTTTTTCTGAAAATTCCTCTTTAATGCAATAAAAAGTTAATGGGGAACAGGAAGAAAGCACCAATCACATTTTAAAACATAAAAAGAGCAACGTGTTATCTTATTTTTGTAAGTTATTTTTTAAATATTTCCCTCAAATATTTTCATGTGTTTCGGATGATCTGTGAAAGCAACACAATGATATCTCATCAATCACATCGCTCCAGCCAAAGCACTGAGAATCAAGTTTTGTATTTTTAAATGACCACATATTTCTCTGTCAACTAAATGTTAGATGTTTAACAGATTTACATTCAGTCACAAAACTGGCGACTTTTGAGAAAGGTCATTATTGCAGCCTACACGTGGGTGGCCGAGCTGATGAATTAATTAAGAATACAGAAACAAAGGTCAAAAGAAAATAATTTTTGTTTAAAACTCAAGCCACTAAACTCTTACACATTTAATTCCAATTACTGAAAAAAAAGGACATCTGTACAACTTTAGTTTTATCCATTTCAACTAATTAACAGATTCAAATAAATAGTCATTACATCTAACTGAAAAGTTTGCTAACACTTCATTAGAAGGAAGTTTAAACAAGCACACAACCTTGTTAACATATTTCGGTTTACCACAAAGTTACTTGGGCATCTCGATAATTATTTTTACTCCCTTTACAAATATATCATGACAGCCAACTTCAATAATTCTACATTCCTTTGCATTTATTTAATTACTTCATAATTCAAATTTTCTTAAAGTACCAACAGTTTTGAAGGTAGGAGTTATCATATAAACAACAGCTGGGCATGAGATTTTTCTACAATATCTACATACATATGGTTCATTAATAATATTTTCCTTACAGATTTAATTTTGAAAGATTACATTAGAAGATTTCTTTGGATTTTAAGTGTATATTTTTCAGTGGTAAGCCGACATTTCAACCTCTGCCATGGCAGCATTGTACGTTTAATGAAATGCATTGAGTTTCATTCTCATGTTCTTTATATTGGATACCTTTGAAATGGCAGATATAACAAAAATTTAGTGAAACATTAAAGCTGTAGTTAGTCCTCCTGGCTTATGTCCAAAACATGTTCCTTAATCACTCTACTAGCAAATAAGTCAATATGTTCATACACATACAGAGAGGAGCTCACTCCTTTAAAACCTGTGTTGCTATGCTCAAAGTAAATGGACAAATGCACACATCACTACTTTCCAAGCTTTTTTATATATATTAAAATAAAAACTTCCACCCCCGCAAAAAACGTATTTCTCCTTCATAAGGACGTGCTTGCATGCCTTAAATTTACTGTCATCTTCCATTTTCTTTCTCTTTTTAAAACAGATTTCTTCCTTTTTTTACTACATGTTATCTTAATGATATATTTTACGACTTGGAAATTGTTTTCATAACAACACCCAAATTCTTAGTTAGGCTGTGCAGGTAGATAGGAATCTTTATTGACCTGAAGGAGGTGAGCTATTCCTTTTACATTAGGAGTCTGCTGATAAGAAAAGAAATCCCTTCTGCTTCTGCAGTTCCCCTCGTTCACACTAAGGCTGACCACCTCTGAAAGCCAGGCACTCATGCGCAAATATATTTATATAGCTGCTGGACAACTCTCTGATGAGAGGGGTGCAAGGCTTTCAAACTGTTAATTCAGTCCAGAAAACCCTTGGTAAGCATTACTAATTCTTGTGGTTTCTCAGTCAGTTTAGGAAGAATGATGCTCGTAAAGGGCACAGCCACCCAGCAGCATCCCTACCAGCAGCAAGGAAATACTCCAACGCCGGCACCTTCAGCACAGGAGGAAGCTGGAATGCACTAAGTGTTTCTTTGCACCCACTCAGACCCCTTATTTCCCACCCGGAATCTGAAAACTGGGACTATAAACCAATAACTCAGAAAAATCACTGCCACACAGCATGAAGAAAACAGAGACTCAACTACTATGCGAGGCCCTCACCACACCACTGTCTAGCAACTGCCTCAACTCCTGGGCTGGGCTGCCCTCGCTGTTCCTCAGCCAGCTCCATCCCTCTCCTGCTGCAACCAAGGCTTCAGTAATAATGCTTGGATGACCACTCTCAGCAAACCAGTTTGCCACACAAGAGTAAATTAATTTCAGAAATTAACACAAGGAGGAGGAATCTGTGTAGCTCAGTCACCCGGATTTCAGGTCAGCGTGAGGCATCACCACGAGTTTACGCTGAAGCGTACGAGCAAGCTCGTGCAGCTCAGTGAGATTACTCACACCACGTAAAGGTCAGGCCTGCTAAAACACTTTCCTGAACTGAAGCTTCGCTCAATTACGCTCTAAAACCGAGCCAGGACTACCCAGCTAGTCCAAGTACGTGCCATCTGAGCTAGCCTGTCATTTCTCCCAGGCTCGTCTGCCTCTGCCAGCCCCAAGCACAGGATCGCTGCCAGCTCCGTGGGACGGGGCCATTCACACAGCTCCCAAAATCAGAACCTGCCACGTTCAAATGAGGCTGTGTGCACACAACCACACGTTTCCACCCAGCAGTGGAAATACAGCTGGAGTGAAGCACAAGAACTCAGTGGGGCCTGCAAGCACCCACAACGCTCTCACGGCAGGTTTTTACTGGGGTGGTGCTGAATGATGTCTCATTATTTAAACTCTGTCATTATTCAGAACATGTACAAAGTGTAGTTATTTTTAATTGACTTTCTTTTTGCTAGACGTACGTTTAAGTTAGAAAAGATCATTAAAAAGTCTTCTGTATCACAAAAATCTAACAATGTAAAAGAACAATTATTTTATTTTTCCTGGAAAAAAAATTACAATGTTAATTCTGAAAGCAAGTCTCAGCACTGAAAAGAAATGATTCATCTAATAGCATTTTAAAACTTCATAAAAACATGTATGTAAGACATACAGTTAGG